TCGACAGAGAAGCCTGTGAAAACAACGCGATCTGGTAGACGAGTTCATTGGCCTAAACGTTACGTGCAAGTCATCGAAATATAACTTACTACAAATTTTCATTTTTATTATCTTTATTCGTAATTGTCATTTGATTACTCATTTAACTGATTAATATTTTCATACATAAATCACGTTACTATTATTTTAACATCGATATTTCCTATATTATTACATTTAATCACATCTCGTTTATCATTCACTTATCGTTTTCGTCTATAGACTACAGATCCTCGGCCAATTTTATCGTTCCTTATATGTTCTACTATGAGTAGCATTCCTACTTCACCCAGATTATCGCATTTATTATCGATGTTATTAACCGCTTTAAACTGCTCATTTTTCAGCTAATAAATCGCCTTCTGTGTACTATCGCTGCTACGTATCACGCTGACGCACGTTATTTTCGAACGCTTAAATTTATTTTTTTATATTTCAGTGTTCTGGTGGGGGAATTATGTAGTACCCCTATACCAACTGTAAATATGTTCTTTAATCTAATTTGTATACTTGTATTATATGTGTACGCAGACCGATTTTATATGTACTGTAAGGCATGGTAAGTTTGGCGGTTTTCTAATGTTCAAACCATGCTTGTCTACTTTCAGGTTGGCTGCGAAGTATGCAGGGATTGGTTACCCAAGACGAGGCAACGGATGACCAATAGGAGTGCCCTTCCCTCTTATCTAATTGTATTGCGATTGGTTGTAAATATAATACTTGACCTTGAGTCTTCGTTCTTACTAGCACGCAACACTTGTGTGATCACGCTGCTAACGTGCGCTTTGCTCTCTGTTTCAGATCATTGCTTGACGAGTGGGATTACATAAATGGCGAGCCTGCCAACGAAAAAACTTTCTTCTTCCAAGTCTCGACCCAATGAGGCTTCCAAGAACACTTCGCCTGTCAAAGAGACAGCATCCAACGAGGTGGATCAATTAGCTGAAGTGAGGGCTCCAGCTTTTCAGTCAAATCAGCCTGCTTCGCGATATGTCCATCCCTTGCCGCATACACTGGAGGTGGGTGATGATTTCGAGCTGTGGTCGGACAAGGTGTGCCGATACATTGATCTGATGAACGTGCCTCACCCGAACGCATTCGTCATCGATTCTGTTGGACGGTCCTTGGAAATGTACACAATTGGTTTGGATTACGTGCATATGCCCTTGACCACCCTGTTGAGTACTCTAAGAGCACGTATAGTGCCACCAATACCTCCCATTGAAGCGCTGAAAAGATTCAGCGAGTGTAACCAGAGACAAGGTGAATCTATCAACCAGTTCACCTTACGTCTCCGCAAGCTTGCGCGTCAAGCTATGCAGGACAAGACATATTCAGAGGTTGAAAACGCTATATATTCCAAGTTCTTGCAGGGTGTCGACGTCCGTTACAGGAAGGACTTCAACTTGCACACTCCAGCATCCATGGCAGAAGCGGAAGCTAGGGCACGCCTAGTGGAAAGCCTGGAAGAGCCAGGAACCACATGCCCACAAGTAAACGCAATGGGATATCAGCACACAACAACAAAGCATGCACAGAATCCTACACCACCGTGGAAAGGACGCCCACAGTCGCAATCCACTTCAAGAAACGATTGCTACTACTGCAGGCGGTTTGGTAAGCTTGCTAGGAGTTGTGGTCACAATGCAGGTGAGTCACATGTCGATATGAATTGTGTGCCTACTGTAAACCTAATCGGTGTCACCTCCTCCCCGAAAGTTGTAGGTTATATAGGTGGAAAAAAGTGTGTTATGTTAGTTGACTCAGGAGCAACTTGTTCTGTCATACATTCCTCATGTGTTCCAGAGACGTTTAGGCGAACAATAGGGACTCACAATTTGCGGCTTACGACAGCCAATGGAGATTGCATGCAATCCCAGGGACTGGTCCTGCTGCCACTTAAATTGGGAACACTGTCACTTCAACACAATTTCATCATCTCTACCCGGGTGCCGTGGCAGGTAATCTTGGGAGTCGACCTCCTGGAAAAGCTGTCCGGAATAATAGATTGTAGTCAGAGGACTCTTATACTGAAGGACTGTTCCATCCCATTTATTGTAGGGAACGACAAAGAGCACGGCACTTTTGGCGTGCAGGGAGATGCTAAGAATGAGAAACAGCGAATGCTGACGACTATAGAACCCCTACCATCGGAAACGGCTGCCAACTTTAATAAAATGCTAGACAAATATGAGGACTGTTTTGACTGGGATGGAAAAAGCCCGGGAAGAACAAAACTGGTCCAACATCACATAGAAACGGGTAACGCCCCACCTTGTAGACAACCTGCACGGCGAGTACCTGCACATTACCAGAAGGAGCTTAACAGGTTAGTTGATGAACTGTTAGAGAAAAATGTCATCAAACCATCCGTATCTCCATGGGCTTCACCGGTAGTTTTAGTTAAGAAATCGAATGGGACACTCCGGTTATGTGTAGATTATCGTAAGTTGAACCTGTTAACTAGACGAGACTGCTTTCCCCTTCCACGCATAGACGACACTTTTGATGCCTTAGAGGGTCGAATTGGTTTACCACTCTAGATCTGGCATCGGGATATTGGCAGGTTGAAGTACACCCAGATGACAGGCAAAAGACAGCATTCATTGTACAAGCAGGCCTGTATGAGTTTGAAACAATGCCGTTTGGGTTAGTCAATGCCCCAGCAACATTCCAACGCCTCATGCAAACGGTCTTGAGTGATTGCATACCAGGTAAGTGTTTGGTATATCTAGATGATGTTATCATACATAGTAAGACGTTGACCGAACATTTAAGTGATATTTCCGAAGTATTAGAACGGATGCAGACCGTTGGGTTAAAACTGAACCCATCGAAATGTCAATTCTTCAGGAAAGAAGTGTGTTTCTTAGGTCACATTGTTTCAGCCGAAGGCATTAAATGTGATCCAGCAAAAGTTCAGGAAGTTAAAGACTGGCCGCTCCCAAACTCAGCCCCCGAGTTACATAGTTTTTTAGGGTTAGCCTCGTATTATCGACGTTTTGTACTTAACTTCTCTTTCCTTGCAGCTCCTCTATTCGACATTCTTAAGAAGAAAGACTACAATTGGACAGCATCAGCTACGGAAGCCTTCGAAAGACTTAAAAACTGTTTATGTAGCCCCCCTATCCTAGCGTATCCCAATGTTTCTGACCAGGCAGGTCCATTCATCCTAGATACAGATGCTAGCGACTCTGGTATCGGGGCAGTTTTGTCTCAAAAAGACGCAGATGGAGTAGAAAAGGTGATAGCCTATGCAAGTCGAGCACTCAACAAGAGTGAGAAGAATTACTGCACCACGCGGAAAGAAATGCTGGCACTGGTCAATTTTGTTAAACACTTTAGGGCATATCTCCTCGGTAGACATTTCATTGTACGCACTGATCACAAAGCCCTTAGCTGGCTACATAACTTCAAAGAAGCTGAGGGTCAGATTGCCAGATGGCAAGAACACCTACAAGAGTATGACTTCGAATGCATGCATAGACCGGGTAAGAATCATGGAAATGCAGATGCATTGTCAAGAAAACCTCTTAGGTATCACGGTGACTGCCCATCATGCACCGAAGCACAAGTTTCGCTGCTCCAACTAGAGGCTCATACTTCATATAGTTGGCCTGAACTTCAGTCTTCAGACCCTGAACTGGCCTTGATTTACGAACGTGTTCGAAATGGAGGCGAACGACCGACAACCCAGGAAATAAGTAAGCTTGGATGGGAAACCCGGTGTTTATGGTCTCTGTGGGATAATCTGAAAATTGTCGATGACATCCTCTACTACCAACATGGACCCACTTATACTCGTCGCGTTGTGGCTCCACAGTCGGCACTACCCACAGTACTATTGTCATTACACCAGCAGTTAGGCCACGCGGGCTCAGGGAAAATGATTGAAGCGGCTAAAAGACGTTATTGGTGGCCTCACCAGAGGAAAGACATCATAGATTTCTGTGACTCCTGCGAGGTATGCCAAACTATTAAGGCTCCGCACAAATATAATAAGGCACCCTTAGAACCCATTATAACTGGCCATCCGAATGACTTAGTACAAATAGACTTGGTTGGACCTCTCCCAGTAACTTCCAGAAATAATAACTATATTTTAGTCATGGTAGACCATTTTACCAAATGGTGCGAGGCTATTGCGATACCACAGATTGATGCTGTAACCATCGCAGAGTCAATTTTTGACCACTGGGTCAGCCGTTGGGGGGCACCACTTCAACTGCATTCAGATCGAGGATCCAACTTTGAAAGTATCGTTGTCAGCGAACTCTGTCGTATAATGGGTATCCGGAAGACACGCACTACCGCGTACCACCCACAGGGAAATGGCTTGGTTGAACGCACCAATCGGACACTTAAATCCCTCTTGCAGGCATTTGTAGATCAAAACAACCCCAGGGAATGGGACCGATCACTCTCACAGTGCTTAATGGCATACAGAGCAAGCATTCACAAAGCTACGCGTCAAACGCCTCATTATATGGTCACTGGAAGAGAACTCCGGTTGCCAATCGATCTGACTTCAAACACACTAGGAGAGGATACACTGATTGCATCCGAACACGTAATCAGACTTCGACGAAACTTGAACAAGGTACATCAGATGACTAGGGATATACTCCAAACAAACCAGAGGTACCAGAAAGAATACTATGATAGGAAAGCACATGGATCACCAGTGGAGCCAGGAGACAAGGTGATGCTACTTAAGGAGGCACCACCTAAAGGGAAAGCTCTTAAATTCCATAAACGCTGGGAAGGACCATTCACTGTAGTAGAGGTACTAAGTGACTGCACCTGTAGGATTCAGGAACCGAATTCCTCTCATAGTCTAGTCACACACTTCAATAGACTAAAACCTTTTCGACAACAGGCCTTAGTTCAGACAAGTCCCGCAGGAACAGTCACCTAGCACTGCGGACAGTGCTCCTATGGGAGAGGGGGTAGTGTAAGGCATGGTAAGTTTGGCGGTTTTCTAATGTTCAAACCATGCTTGTCTACTTTCAGGTTGGCTGCGAAGTATGCAGGGATTGGTTACCCAAGACGAGGCAACGGATGACCAATAGGAGTGCCCCTTCCCTCTTATCTAATTGTATTGCGATTGGTTGTAAATATAATACTTGACCTTGAGTCTTCGTTCTTACTAGCACGCAACACTTGTGTGATCACGCTGCTAACGTGCGCTTTGCTCTCTGTTTCAGATCATTGCTTGACGAGTGGGATTACAGTACTTCTCAAACATTTGTCAATTTACTGTTGAACATTACCTTGATACAATTTCGAAATTTGACTACTGCTATAATACACAATCGTACTCTTCGCAAGTGCCTTTTGATTTACGTTGTGAGCGTCGAGTAGTCACAGCGTCTCTGCACATTAATAAAAGTGAAGAAGTACTAGAATATACGTGTACGGAAGTTTAGTCAAATAACGCGTGCAACAATCTCAGCTATCTCCGGTTTTATGAGTTATCACCATTATTTATTTACTTGCCGACGCTGTGTTTAAGTAAATTATATCCACTTGTACTCTGCTTCAATCAGCTGTGATGTCAAGCATTTAGTACCTTTTTGGCGAGTTGCTTGACACTCACGTATCCCCACAATTTTAGATCTCTTGTTGGACTCTAACTCAACCCAACAGGCAGGATGCAAGTGTGTTAATTTGCCTGTTGGATGAATGCAGTGAAGTGTTATTATTACGTGGATTATGTTTTTATTGTTTATAATCAAATCAAAATCAAAGGTGATATAATTGTGAACAATAAATTACATTTGTTGGGTTAATAATTCTGTTTTCTCGTGGTGCATCCAACATACAAATTAATATAGCATTACACGATACCTTATTTATTAGTTTCCGCTGATTTCCTATATAATCGAAGCCAAAATAGAGAGTGAAAAGCATTCTTTGAGTAAAGTGCAATCGGAACATCGATTTCTAATACGAAAACTCGTAGCTCCGGAACACACATCACCTACCGATTTTCTGCACAACTTGGTAGAGGGTTTCGAAATAAGGTGGGGTGAAGGCCCAGGACAAAACACTGAAGGTGTGCTTCCTGCAGCGTAGTCGCTGGACACACTTTAGTCTCCAGCGAATATCACAGTTCATTCTGCCACTATTACTTATTGTACTTGGCGTGAAGGGCGTTATGACGTTTCACGTGTATGTGTGGTTGTTCTCTGTACAAGTGACTTCGTCACAGCGCAATAGTGCGTTTCATTATGGTGATGGTACTTAAAACACTACTTACGCATCTGTAACACTATCAAAGCTATCTATACAACCTACTGATGTGTCATAGGCTGACTGCCTCGCAAGAGCACTGAAGTGTTGCGTAAAAATTCTCCAAATATAAATGCACCACATTTGGAAAACGAGAAAGTGGATAAGATGTGTAAGCAAACTGTTAGTCCCTCGTAATGTATCTGCTCTCCCTTTGATATTACGACTAATTTCATGGACCATTTTCTAATATACTGTTGAATTACAAAATGAATTCTTATTCAACTTAAAAATCACCAGAAAAATTACTATCCAGCCTACTACAATTTGTCACTTGGGGAAAAGTGTGTTTACTGACATCTCTTCACAAATAATTATTCCGTCTTCCGTGTAACAGATTCCATTAGTTTATCATTGCAGACGTGTTCACAGTATTGGCTGCGTCGATAGCTGGGACACTTCTGGATAGCCATTACGTCTACATTCCGGCCACTAGGGTAAAACATACTTCTTCAGTAATACTCTTCAGAATATGCCTTTCCATTTTTCCACGGATCCTCGAATCAGTCCCTAGACCCCGTATATCTACCGGTGACATTAGTAACGCTACATTATACTGACCTAGACATGCATCGGATGTAAAATGATTCTCGTGAAGTCAAGGCTGATGAACCGATTGACGTTATTTGTAGACATTTTATTGCACTAATAGTAACCATGTGTAAGTCCCATGGTGAGGCTGCTACGTAATAAACCTGTTATATTGGCTTTTGTTTGTTTGATCAATAAATCAAAGTCCGATCGTCTGTTTTTTAACACCACTTGCGTCGCGTAACGTAATACTGAGTTCCGGAGAGCAGACCTCTTGCTACAGCGAATTTTCCTTATTCCGTTTTTCATACAGGCTATGGACCTGGGGCATATACTTGGAAACGTTTTCCTGCTAAGTTAGCAGACAATGCATTATCTTGATTTATTGCCCTTCCTCATTCTACTGTTCGGCGTTTGTGTCTAATACTGGCTATAATTTGTGAGTGACCTCCCACAGATTATTATATAATATTAAGAATGGACCAAAGTATAGCTAGTGCGTCAGCGGCACAGCGGTTAGGATCCTCACCAACCATGCAGATGGTCCGGGGTCCGATCTCCTGTCGATGCACTTCTTTACCTCGCTAAGCCAGTAATAAGACTGGTAAAGAGGAAAGTTTGGGCATGAAGCTAGCAACGACATCCTGTAAAAATAAACACTGCTAAAGAAATCTCAAACCTCCAGCCTGAAGCCCTACTTTCCTCTGGGAACGAAGAAAGAATAAAATAATCATCGCCATACAATGACAAGATGAAATTCTTAACTTTATACAGTGATCCCAACATGTGGATTATGTACTTAATACTGACCTCTTGATGAATTTTCGACAGGTATTTGTCATAAAAATTAGCTACCAGCCACTATGACTTCCTCAACTGTATCGGTAGTCGTCACAAAGCATGCGAACTAGTCATTGTTCTCCGTTTCGATATATCAAGGGCAACTGATATGATATCTCGAAGTTCTCTCATTGTGATGATTTATTCCCATAGATTTTATATTCCATTCCTTAACCAGTCAAAGACATTTCCATGCAGTTGAGTGCTAGTAACTAAAAGTGAACCAGTGTTTTCTCACCCTAGGCAGGTCACAAGAGCGGTAATGCGGAATAGCTTTATTAGGACCACTCCTATCCATGGTCTAGCCAAACATCATCTGTAATCAATTCAACTCAGATAAAGTGTTCCTATATGCCGATAACCGTAAAGTCGTTTATCCATGATATGGTCATGAATTACATGGACTGATAAGTGTTTGACTTGAACCAAGCGATGTTACATTTCTATGAGCTAAGTGCTGTCAGAAGTCAAACACCCAGAAATATGGCTGAATTTTCATTGACAGCAGTAAACTCGACCTGAATTTTGAAGCGGATGGCGAAAAACCGTCCAAGCTTCACTCATATGGCTGTCTTGGAAGTTTAGTCTTCTCCGAACAGATCGATTATAATGGATGTAAAACAAATAGGTCCCTGGTCATCATTAATTTCATTTTTCTATGCAGTGGAACAAGAGTTTCATTGCATGAAATGTGCCCTAACCCTATTGTTGAGTATTGCCTGTTTGTTCTTGGTGGGCTCCCACCGAGTGACAAACTTTAAGTAGAGGTAGTGCAAGGACACCTTACTGTAGGAGCTGTTAGCTCAAAGTAAGACCTTGAATACACCGAGCATTGCAGTAGGCTGGAGATAGAACCAATCTAGAAAAAATGGTTAAGGCTTGAAATATTTTTTACTACAAGTTTACTAACCTTCTTAAACACATCTATTGGCCAAGGGTAGAATCTATTCCCGGAATTGACTACGATCTTAAAAATGGTAACAATTCAACTTTCATATAGCATTTTCTCACAAACTTCTTAAATAAATTATGATATTAATGGAAGACGATACTGTGGATTTCTACACAAGGTGTAGATAACAGCAGATACATGTAACACAAGTCAAAATAATGGGGCTAGATATTGTGTGGATATATTTCTTGATTTTTGTCCAAGGTGAATGTATACATGCACATAAATACATATCAGTTTTGTGGGTTTATCGTGCTTCTTCATCACCTGTTGTTCTATGCATTCTTTTTAATCTTTTTAGCTTCTATTTGATTTTGTGAGCGATAATGAAGAACGTTTTTGCCGAATGATGATAGTCAAAACATCAGGCCAGACGTCCATACGGACCTTGATATGCTTATGAGCAATAAATTGTTCTCGAAACGTCATCAGTAAACATTACTGTATAACACTGTGAGACTTTATCAAAACAAAAATTTACCCATAATGGAATACAAGAACGAAGCCAACGAAACAGTGTGCCATAAGTTTTCAAAGTAGTGTAGCTCCTAGAATATGAAAAATCTTTGATTTGGATTCAAATCACCAAAATCGAACTGCTGCGCTACAGGTGTTCTGTTTCTGCATGAATCATCTTTCCATATTCTTTTGGAAATCAGCCATGTCCCTCACATTATCCATATATCCATACTCAACAAGGATTGTATTGTCACCTGGAGCTATATGTTGTATTCATTTGTGGAATCTACAACCTGGAATCTCTCTGTACCATGTGGGGCTGAGGATTTTATCCCCAGGTAGTACTGCTGTCAATGGAGTTGAAGATTGAACGATCAATTCACGGTTGTTTGCTCAAACCAACTTCCCCAATTTTCGCGGAGGCATCAATACGACAGTCATCGTCTCATCGGTCGCTGTTCAGAAAGAAGTCAGTAGCAAACCATCAGAAACCTTAGTTCAATTATTATTTTTATATGTTGGTGTAACAATAAAGAATTCCCAACCGGCCAATCGGTGTTTTGGTTTTTGCGTCCGTTATAACTAAGCGTTTCTGAAAACTTCAAGGAACAGCGTGGGCCCGAGCGTAGCAAGACCTGGGCATTAACGGTTTATGAGACGTGGCTGACAACTGCTAAAGGAAATTCTGAATTTGATTTCGCAATATATAGCTGTTTATCGTTGTTTATGATACTTCGATAATACAACAATCTGTTTTCTATATCTTCAAGACATTTTTCAGGAAATTGTGAATATTCTTGTTTCTGTACTGGTTAAGTCTGTCAAACGTGTAAGAACCGTTAAGAGACTGGGACACGATACTCGTCAGCCATCTGAAGGCCTCAGTTCCGTAGACCATTCTACACTTTTGACACCAGACACACTCAAAGGTATGGTATCTTGTATCATG